CCCCCCCATGACCCTAGTGAGGTGTATAGATAATGGAGATAATGGATGAACATAATAAATCATGACGTTTCTAAGAAGATGCATGTGTGATTTCTTTCATATCTTTAAGCCTTAACTACATTTAATTCAGTGATCTTGTGTCCCGACAGGCCGAGGAGGCCGAGTGGCAGCTCACGGTGGCACCCTGTCGTCATTCATCGTGAAGAACATCGCATTAGACAAAACCGATGACAGCAACCCGCGAGAAGCCATCCTACGTCACGCCAAGGAGGCGTCGGAGAACCCGTACTGGGTCGCCCCAGCGTACACACAGTAAGAGAATCAATCATTCGCACATTGTGTCCGTCCGACTGTTTCTGTCAGCCAGCCTCTCCCGTTTCAAGGCTGGCCCTCATCAGCAGACAGTGTAAGATGAGTATTGCTAATTATGGTATTGTGACGGTACTTGGGTTTCTCTCTACCGGTGTGACACATGAATGTTTAAAAAGGCTGTGCAGCTTTACAGGTACACACTTCAAACTGCAGAGAGGAGGCTAACGGACAGATTTAGATCACTATCAGACTCAGACAGCTATGTAAGCGCGGAACAAAGCCGCGAGCCAAATCAAACACTCTGTTTCGCATACTGCAGGCAAACAGTCTTCGGTTAAATATAGTATGCTAGCAATACACATTACAGTAGGTAAATCACATGGAGTAAATTAGCCGTGTTTCGGCGTGTTTTCTCAGACAGTATGCTAATAGTGGTTGTTACAGCTCTCGTTGCTGGCCTGAAATTACCTTAAACGTCCAATTAATTCTCGGAGGAGGAGCGACTTTATGAAAAGCAGCTTTAGATTGGAATTTATTGGATTCTTTAATGTTTATTTATTGGGAGTATGCAGCGTGAAGCAATGCCACATATCACAGCATTTATAGCTTACGCCTGTTTGTAAAAGGGCCTTTAAAAATACGTAAAACTCATCATTAAAATAGGCAAAAGAGGCCACGCAGACCTCATCAGTATGTGCATATATTAATAATCTCTGTTCCTGGACAATCTTTTCTGCTCCATGTAACTCCTAAAGATTCGCAGCTGAACTTCATTAAACCTCATTTGCTCTCAAATGAAGAAATAATTCCGCTAAAATGATAAACTCTAACTTAATTCATTGCCACACAGCTGTCATCGAGTTATTTTCTTTGTTAAACAGTTCATTGTTTTGCTCTGAAGTTGTCTGAACAAACAGTTAAATCATTACTCCTTTTTGTTGAATCCCTGCAGGACCCAGCCAGAGCCCGTGTTTGCAGAGGAATCAGAGGAGGATGAGGAAGCTGACAAAGAACCCGAGTGGAAGAAACGCAAGATCTGATAGACAGCAGCTCATTTAATGCAGGACAGCACACAGGGTGGGCTAGAACACAGAGGTACTGTCAAGAACTCTGCTTAGGAGCATCAGTTAAATTGCTAAATTGTCTTCCCACCCCGTAATGTTATTAAGCATTTATGTGCGTGCTTCTGTGTTAAAGGGGGGGAAGCACATAAATCTAAATGGAATTTTCACTGTGCAAGCATAATATAATTTTATACAGGTTTATGTTCCTCTCATTGCGATTCATAAGCCACTGGAAAAACTTGGCTTTTTTCATGTCACTCTTGATTGTATAGACTTTATTTTCATCATTTCCATCCTCCTCTCACCCTACATCTCCAGAGTTTGCTAATGCCTCATAAATCGGCTCCAGATTTTGTGGTTTTGGAGCTGTTCATCACCATGAAGAACACTTTGCCAGTTTATAAAAAGTAAATCACAAAGAAGAACAAAAAATTTCAGCCAGTTTTGCTTTGGAATGTTTTTAAAAGGCTTGACAGTTTTAAAAGCTGTACTTTTGGGGTGGTTGTGATATACAAAGCTCCATTCAATCATCTGCTAATTTAGTTGTTTTGTTTTTTTTTCTACACACTGTATTCCGAAACCTAAATAAAAGAATTTGTATCCTCTTGTCAAATAGTGATATGTTTTATCCAAAGTGAAGCGGAGCGACAGATCTGTTTTAGCAGCTGATCAAAGGAATACTTCTGCCACATACCTTTTCTGCGAGCTCAAACCTGAAGATACGCAGACGGCACACACAGTCCCGGTCAGTGCTGCTGCTTTTACAGGATACTTTTTTGCACCAGTGTTGAATTACATGTCATTGCAGATGCAGCAATTTTCTAGTATGGTGAATCCTGTTTTTTTAAATGATCCTAGTAAATGATCCTAATACCAAGTTGCCTTTATGAGCTTTTTCTGCAGCATTCAAGCACACGTCAAGGTGAGTGAAATGAAGTTTGGACTGTTTCCTGTCACACTTTTTTTTTGTCTTTGTAAACAAACAAATCGTCCTTTTCTTTAGGAGTCCCTTCAATGACCTGTGCAGCATCTAAAATACTCAGACTGACAGGGAAAACCCACAATATACAGATTTAATGAAAGCCACGTTGCCTTCTGTGTTGTGTACATCTAATTGGAATGCATCTTCTGCCAACAACAGCATGCTGATGTGAGTTGTCTTTTTGTTTTGTTTTTTTAATACATTTATTATTCGGTAGAAATGTAGAACTTTACCAGCATGACGACACACAGATTTGCTGTTTTCCCACCAGTTGCTCAGTAAAGTTAAGCACCGATCCATCTGACGTTACCTCGTGTTCCGTGAAAAGTCCCAGTCGCTGCTCTTTCTGCTCAGTGACGTGAAACGGTCGAGTGATCTTTCTCGGCCGACCGAAACTACAAGAATTAAATGTCTCGGTGTCCTGGCACAGGTGCAGTGACCGTAAAATGGAGGTGAGACAAAGACATACCAGAGGAAGAAATATGGAAGCGCTGAATCAACGAGTGATGTATGAAAGAGGAGATTGGCTTCACGGGGAGAAGCTGACGTCAAACCCTTCAAGAGAAGCGTCGTCAGCCAGCAGCGGGAGGTGAGGACTGATTGCAGTTTGATTAAAGTGGGACAGTCGAGCGCAGACAAAGGAGAAGCTCTGCGTGGAGCTGGAACCATGGCCTGCAGGTAGAGGCATTTAAATACAGACCTATTAAAGGCTCAGTTCACTCAAATTACAAAGAAGCATTCCATCACTTACAGTAGTGGTATCTGTCTGTGCCCACTGTGTAGAGAAGGTGAATGCTGGTTTTACTGCTGCAATAAACAGTTGTATGAGTTCTGTTTATCCCACAGGTTATTTAAATTAGTCCTTGTTGCATTCAGTTTTCATTCGAGCATCCTTCTCCCGCGACAGCTACTAAAATTAGACTTCCTCTGGTCTCCATGTCAGCTACAACTACATTCAGCTTGGCCAGATTGAACCACATTTGAGGATTTTAGACCAAGGCTGGAGTCACACCTGGTAGTATACTCAGTGTGTTTCTTATTATCAACAAATCCCATGAAAATACCAACATCAATCAATAATTTCAGTCAATACAGTCGTGACTCGATAACCCGACACTAAATGTAAAACCTTCTTTTATGTCGGATAGCAAGGCTGTCGGATTGTCAAGACGGAGGTCGAGATACAAGGAGGGCTTGATGCTTGAAGGGTCATTTGTTGTTAATTATTGTTCATAGTTGTTATAACAACTAGTAGGGCTGGTCCCAATAGCACTTTCTGGTCTCTGGATATTCAGGCCCAATTAATGATGAATATAAGAATATTCAGCACGATCGGGGGACACTTCCACGCCAGGGGAGCGCTCCGACGGGGTGGAAGTGGCTGAAACGCACAGGCAGTACTTGACTGCTGATGCCAGTTTAGGACAGTGGTCACAGTTCGTTTCCACCAGTGGCGGCGGCGCCACCATCCATGCTTACGTAAACACTGAGCACGCTTGCTGTGTGTGACGTCGTTGTGTCCTCTTCTGTGCATGCGGGACACTTTTGGGTCATATGAAGTTCACACAGCAGATCACATACAAGTAGCATTTAATTGGAAATGTGAACAAACTAGCAAAAAAATCTGAATTGAGCATTAAGTCCTGCAGTCTGAACGTAGCTTACGTTCTTATTTGTGACATAAAATGTCATGTTGGAGTCAGAATCCAAGGCTGTCGGTATGTTAAGGCTGTTTTTAATGGGTTCCGTTTTTCCTAAAAACCTGTCGGATAGCAAGGTTTTCGGATTGTTAAGGGTCGGATAATCGAGTCACAACTGTATTTTTCAACTTTTTTACTCTGTCTGTTGCCCTCTGTCACAAACTCATTGGTTCTTACTGTCAATAAAAGTATAGAAAAATATAATATAGGCAAAAATAAAATAAAATAGCAGAACTTAGTTTATATCTTCATCTGCAGATTCGGTGAAATAGTGAGTATTTACAGCAGGAGGATCATGTGTGTGTGTGTGTGTGGGTGGTTGTTTCCACTAAATAAGTTACAGTGGCATTTTCGTCGTATTGAAGGAACCTGGTGAAAACATGTGGCGCACGGATGTGGTTTTGGACACGATGTACATGGCACAAACAAATAAGCTACTATATGTCAGGCTTTGGTCTCACAGATAATACTGTTAGGGAGATCAGATCATTGTTGGTGTTGGACTTATGGGATTTGCTGACAACATGAAAAATACAAAATATCGCCACACTTAATCCTTTGAGTCACACAAATGAGGACGAAAACAAATTGTTTTGGCAGGCAGGCTTTGCGCAGCCAAACACCTTATATATTTAGTTTCTTTGGCCTCGGCAGTGAAGGGACTTGGCCTCGTGACAGAATGAAATGCTTAAATGCTACGATGCTTTATTGGTCAGTATTTTGAAGCCAGACAGAAACTTAGGAATAAATTATAAAGACTCGGGAGTCGCTCTTACAAGAAGACGAGACTTTTCCCAGAAGACATGAAAACAAGTGGTGTAGTACCTCAGCTTCACACTGCGAGTCATGACTCACTGTCTGCACCTCTGCCATTTTCTCATCAGCATTTACATATCTTCTTTGCACAGTGGAAACATTCTCCAGCGGCCATGATTTACAACTTAGTGGCGCTTTACTGCTGGCTTTTGTTTACTGTACGACCCCGGGCTCTGGCTCAAGAATGCAGAACAGAAGGGGGACGCCACACTGCAGAGGCCACCTCGCGAAGCATCCTCGCGATTCTCCCATTTAACCCAAATTTTCATCCTCGACTTTACACGATGCTTTGCGTAAACACATCCCGGCAAATTAGCCCCCATCTGGCACCGGTTGGAGCGCTGTACATGGCACGACACCAGGAGACGTGTTCATTTAATAGAAACAAGTTTAATTCTGTAAAAAGTTATAAAATGAATATTGTACAAAAATAAAGTTTGCCGAGAGCTTTGGTTCTGTAACACAAAACAAGTGAGACGACGTGACAGGTTTGTTTTTCTTTTTGTTTTTTTTTCACAGAGGTGTTAACGGAGTGACAACAAATGCAATCCTTTCTTCTAATATTAACACTGAGGATTCCTTAGCATCTTTACCTATTGCTTTGCTTTGCTTTTGCACCAGATGCAGAGGATAATGAACAGCTGAGCAGAACAGTCTTGAAGATGAGAGGGCGGAGTGGTCACAGTTCACACTTTAATGTATGGTATCGATGAGTGGTGAGGCGCTCCGAGGGGCTTCTGGGAGGAAGTCTCCTAACTGCACAATCTCATCTGGAAAGGCTTACGCACGAATCAGTTGTTAAAAGGGGAAGATGATCCAATTGATGAGGTATGCTGTGATAAAAGCTAAGAGTTTTTTTTTTTTCCCCTCTCTGTGTAGTGTTTGGCCTAAATTCAGCTTGATGCAGTGGATTTGTTCTGTGCAGGGGGATTACACAGTAAAGCTGGCTTGCTTGCTGCTGGGTGGGCACAGATACCTTGGTCCCTAATCCATGCTAACATCAAGACCTACACGAGGGCTCTCTTTGTTCCACTTAAAACGACCCCCTCGCAGGGCACGGCGACGTGCTTTTAAAGAGCCTCTTGTTGTTTTTTGCTGCGTGTAAATTTCTGCTGCAGTTCGGGAATAAATTCGGCTAAAACAAGTCGTCACACGCGAGCCAACACGTTTGCCTTTTTCGCTCGGCGATTCCAAAACATACTCTTTTGTCGAAACGTCTAGTCTTGAGATATTTACATCAGTTGCACGATGACAGCCACTACAGTAGCTAGATCTTCCTTAAACGGCCTTTGCCGGCGGGGATATTTGGTTAAGACTCGTGTTAGAGGATCACTTTCAAATCCCCTTTGAGGGAATAAGACCTGTCTGTCAGAGCTCAGACAGAAACACAGGCAGTCCCGTGAACTTTAAAGCCTATTGGGACAGTAACCGCTGCAAAGCCTTTGCTCAGACTTGGTGCAAGGCCAGAGTGAGGTTTCGGATAACGTACGCTGATAGGCAGGTATTCTAGCAGCTTCTGTACTTTGACCTAAAGGATGGATCCTCAAAGGCACGTACAGATCTTTGTGAGACCACCACTCTCATGCTGATTTTTAAAATTTAAAAAGACGTTATGGCTTCTGTTTAAATCTGTCCTGGATTATTCATGTGAAAATTGCCTTTGAAAATAAACAGCAGCAAAGAATTATTTCCTTGTAAACATAGAGCATTAATGAAGGGATGGGAGTCTATAGGTGGGTGCTGTGAGGAGAGAGCTGAAGCTTTCCCCCCTCTTTGTCTTAGCGTGGTCACGTGAGTGAGAATGAGGTGAACTACTGCCGTTCCTCACAATGCTTCAAAACAACACATCACTTCTATCAAATGTCTTCTATTGGTCCCCTCCACTTCCTTCGCCGTCTGTCCTTCCTGAACTTGATAGCTAATGATGATCATTTGGACACATGAAAGGAGAAACTCTGGAATCTAAGTGGCATGAATAAGCATTATTAAAGTGTTTGAGCAGTTCTGGGTGACCTTGTGAGATTTTGCATGAGAAAATGCTCCACTTTGGCACCATCCAGGACAAACAAAGCTTTTAAATAAATAAGAAAAAAAAGACAATTTCTTGCGTAAAATGGATTGAAATAAATAACAATAAGTTAATTCCATCTTAATAAATATACCTCTTACACACACGTATCTATATATACTATGTATGTATATATATATATATATATATGATTGGATTTTATGTAGATGCGTTGCACCAAAAAGTCTTTGCTGCACTCCGGAGTGGTTCCTTGGCTCTGAACGCAAACATCCAGGGCTACGCTGTGGACGCGACTGCAACCAAACGATCTCCTCAAATCTGTGGATTCATCTGGAGTCTTAAGAGCCAGTTATGGACAAACTGATGTTCCTGGGAGATTAATTCTTCTAGTTTCACTCTCGCCTTTTTAGACAGCACAGTTAGCAAATCTGAACGTGTAACAGTATTTAATCTTCTGCGAATCGGTGCACACCTGATACATTTTTTGCATGTGTCTGAACAGTCAGATACTGGTAACGGGATCTGGAGGACTGAGCACGGACTGTCAACGTTAAAATGTACAGGTTGCTTTGGAGCGGCTGTTCCAGTGTCTTTCAGGTGGTCTCAGCATACTCACCTGCATCTCCTCTGATGACTACTGACACTAAGGGACGATGCAATCCCTGTTTGACCTCGTATACACTTGTCCAACAGTAATCCCTCCCTTCGCGGCACCAGCTTGTAAAGGTGATCCTCAGTTCGCTGACGCTGGCGTTTTGTCACATTTCCTCAGACGCAGCCACACTTCCTGGCAGAATGCTTCTTCAGCGTGTGGTACACCACGTTGTCGTCCAAAAAGGACAAGTCGTCGTCGAACGCGATCGGTCGACAGCAGGTGCGAGAGGGCGTGTCCTTGTCCAGCTTTTTGTTGTGTGTGAGGTTGTTCAGGATCTTGTCGTAGTTGGTCTCCGCCTCGATGCAGGGGCCGCTGCAGTACCGGAAGATCAGCTCCTCTTTAGTCTGGTAGCCCAACCCCAAATCCGTCACGTTGAGATGGACCTCCTTTAGCAAGCAGCCTCGACTCTGCACCGATATCCTCTCCCTCCCTTTCTCACCTCGGCCTCCTTTACCGCCTCGGCTTCCCCCTCGGCCTCGGCCTCGCCTCCGGTCGCCATGTCCTCTCCCGCCGCCCCTGTTGCCTCCCGTGTTTGCTGCTCCTCTCTGTCTCTGCTCCTTCCGTCCCCTGGAGCCCCCGCTGGGTTCCGATGATCTCCGGAGTCTGCCAATGGTAGCCTCGATAAAATCCATCACGTCATCGTACTGCTCTGGATAAGGACCGGCAATGTCATCTGGAGAGTAGAGAAGGAGCAGATTTACTAAAGTTGGATTTAAAGTAATGATTTCTACGCAGTCGTGGATGTTAAACAGCTCTACAGTCATCTGCAACATTAATTATTTAGTGTTTTGAAAGACTGCATGAGCAGATAAGATAAAACTTTAAACGCCCCTGTGGGAATAGAAACAAATCAAGCACAGTGATACTACATGACGGGTGTGAAAACATTACACAACCAGGGATTTCAGCAAAAGAACACACAGACACAGCTATTAACTTCATGATGGTGTGCAAATTCTCAAAAGTTTAGAATCCAATCTACATGCTGGCTTCTCCACAGATCAAAAACTACAGCTGATAAATCTGGTTTGTGAAAGCTTATTTCTTGACCAGACAGAAACGTCCTCGTGTTTCTTTTGCTTGGCTTGAAACTACACAGACTGTTTTCAGTCTTCAAACTAAGCCGAGCTCAGATAAGCTCGCAGTAGCCTTCAATTTAACAAACATGAATGGATCCAAACTCTCATGTAATTCTCCACATGAGGGGCAATTAGCATTTTTCCCAAAATGTCAAACTATTCCTATAAACACACAAATTACCATAAACCATATGTGTGTAATTTGCAGAATTGAATAAATGCACTGCTGCCAGTTCGGTTCAACAAACCGAACGTGGATTGAGGTGTCGTTTGTGCTGAACAGAATGATGTGCATTGGTGCTGATGGTCAGCTCACATATCCATGGCAAAGTGTCCAAAACAAATCCAGACAGTGTCCATAAATTTTGAGAAATGTGCAGTTCAGAAACGGTATGGGTTAGTGTTTGGCAGAGGAATGCAGAAAGCAGTCCAGAGTTGTTCATATGCAGGTTTTGCTGGTGCCCTGCTTTCACTCCATTCAAGATGGGGGATGAGTTGGAGGCTGAAGGTCAGAGGGTGTTGTCAATTCCATTTTGATATTTGTGTTAGTCAGAGAAGGAAGCAAAAAAAAAAAAAAATGTAGGGCTGATCGTGGATAAATAACATGTCTGCCTTCATGAGGTTCCTATCACATAAGACTGAAGTGTTAAAGGTTAAATATCCAGCTTAAGTTAAGCCGTCAAGCTTTCACACAGGAACTGTCTGTCTGGAGACAGTAGGCAGAGACCAGTTCAACACCTAGAAAGATGCATTTAGATCTCTGATGGATGTAATTTTAGAACACCTAGACTTCAAAGGCAGAATAAAAAGGAAATCATATGCTTTGAGTCATTTAGATGAAGCAGATTGTAGTCTGCTCGAAACTCAAAACATGCAGCGGCGCAGCTCTCTGCCATCTGCTGCGAGGTTGATGAGGACTGACTCAAAGTCTTGGACCCTCCTGTGTTACATGTTGATTCGATTAAGGAGTAAAGTCTCTCCTACTTGAACGCCTGCGGGTCCGACAACAATGAAATATCTGTGAGGATCATGAAGACATAATCTTCTTAAATGAATCAATTAGTCAAATTTAAATTAAATTACCTGTGTGTGTGTGTGTGTGTGTGTGTTAGTGTGTGTTAGTGTGTGTTAGTGTGTCGTCATGTCGTGCGTGCATCCAGAAGTCGGAGCAGCGGATACGATGTCTGGTGGGTGGTGTTGTGGTTAACGCAGCCTTTACAGTGTCACCTGTCTGTCCTCTCCTAGCTGTTCCTCCAGCCGAGCGCCGGCCATCTGATCCGCCTGCGCTCCACAGCTGATTGGGCCGCTGCTCGCGTATCAGGTGAGCTCGGACCAATCTGTTTAGACACACCTACCCTTTGATTTAGACACCTCCTATTGTATGTCAGCTGACAGCCAGGGAGGCTACGGCGTACACCTGCTGACAGACTACACCAGTGGCAGCAAATGGAGCGATTCATGGCGCAACTTAAGCCATCATTTTTGCAGAGTCTAAAGAAAAATCAATAACCACTGATTTTCTTTGGTTCCCCTTTAAAATATCTGGGCCTCCTCATAAAGCCGGTGTCTGCACATTCTCAACCTAGATTGAAAGCGAAAACTCCTTTTTTTCTTTGACATTGTGCACAAACCAAACGTCCCGGAGCTACAGCGTTGTTTACTCTATTAGCACAAAGTTAATAATCTTAGGTTACGCCGCAGATCAGTGATGTCACCACGGTCCAAACAGAATCCGAGGTGGCGGGACAAACACTCGTCCAAATGTTCCATTCCTTATCTAGTTCTTGGCTGCGTTTACTTCTGTGTGAAGATGATACAGTGTCACATTGATCCAAACAAAATAAATTCCTGCCCACCGTCGCTGTTAAAATGAACATAAACACAGAACTCTCGCTCGGTGCTTCAAACTTTCCGGTGTTGTCTAGTCTCTCTGCTTTGAAACCTCCTGTGACCTGGTTCACCGTGCCTCCCTCTAAAACACGCCATGATTTCTGAGTTTTGGCAGATGGGTAAAGGTCACGGGTGCCTAAGTCGCAGAGAGGCAGGGGTGAACATAAACAAAGGGAGAAGGGGAAATGTGGAGCGTGACCTCTGAGTGGCACCGGAGCCGCTTGTACACTTTTACATGCTGCGGGTTTGTTTTGACATCAGCATGATGTAACCAAAAGCAGCAATAAAACACAAATTAAGATCTCCAGCATGATAACCCGCCTTTCCGAGAGCCTTATCAATATAGGACTCGTCACTGCTGGCTCAGCTCACCGGCTTTACGTGCTGTTTCTCAAGTGTAGTTAGTTGCAGAAATTGCTTTGCCATCAAACCAACATTCGTGTCTGAATTATATAATGTCTATAAAGTAAAACCCCCTCCATGTTAACGAGACAATCACACATGTGCAGGAACATGTTGCCTTACACTGATCCTCCATGGAGATCTCCTGCAGGTTGTGGTCTTCGCGCTGGAACGATGGCTCTTCGTCCTCCACAGACAGGGACACAGAATCACTGTAGCTGCTGGGGAAGTAAGTCCTCTTGGCTGGCTGAGTGTTTTGGTAGAGAGGCCGTGTAGCAACAGAGCTCAGGAGCAACAAACACGTGGCCAAAACATCCCATAACTTCATCTTAGACTCAGTTCCTATGAAGAAAGCTGCAAAATGAAAAGAGGGATTTTTATTTTATTTTTTTATTTGAAATCAGGGGGTCCAAAACAAAATGATTAGAAACACACACACACACACACACATCTACACACACACACACCCAGAATGTCCGCCAACTAGTTTGCAATGAAGTCAGCAAAGTGCTTGAAACAGTGTTGTGGCCAGACCTACCCTGACTCATTCTGTATTAATAACTGTGTCATCATGTCAAGAGGCTTTGATCTTCACTTTGTCTGTTGTGCGCTGTAGAAACGGATATCTGATTAAAGCCACCAGAAAATTATGAATATAAGAAAGATAATAAAAAATATTGTAGTTATTAATGAAAAAAATCCACGGAAAATGGAAATAAAATATGGAGAGAATCAATTTAAAATGCGTAATTTTGTGCGTAAAAGCGCCGTTTTCACATTTCCCATGCTCTCCTAACAGTCACAGCTATTGGGGTCACTACATGATATATTCACGTTGTTGTGATAAAGCTCTTGCTACTTGTAATGAGGCACAGAGGGTGCGCCTCACACAAAAATGCATTGGTTAAAGCACGCACCAAAGCGTTTTTTGGCACCGATAGCCTAAATAATGGTGTGACTTGGCCAGATGGCGATCCCCAAAGCTTACGTGACTCTGTCTAATGGCATGTTGAGTCTGCAGTGAACCTAAACAGCTATGCATGGATAAATACTGGGCTTAAACATGCTATGCAAAAGTCCTAACAACTGTCTTTACAAATGCATAACTTGCGTTTTTTCCATTTTGATCTGCTGTTTTGAACAGAAACACCGAAGCGAAGCTCGTTCGTCCTTTTTTGCGCATCAGAAGCTGTGGCAGCGTTTTTTAATTTTTCCACTCTGAAATCATAAAAAAATATATCAAGGTTCACTTACCTTAAATATGGCCCATGCAGACCTGAAACTCGCTCGGCTGTTGGTGGTAAAATCCAAACCGAAAACGCCACTCATTTAGTGTTCCCCAGCTGATTCAGCCGCATGAATCATTTCAAACAACCGCGAACGGGAACATTTCACGAGAGCGAGTTCAAATTCAGTTTGTGTCCAAATAGTAAAAAGGCAGAAATACTGGCACCAGGTATGTTTTTCATATTCCGATCCGGCGCACCAGCCAAACCATGCGTCTCTCTCCACACTTTGGAGTCCAAAGGTAGGTGTTGAAGAGAGCGGACCAAGTGCCACTGCGCCTTACGGGGGGTACAGTTGCAAGCGCTGATTAATTGGATGCTACGTTTCCACGTTGGAAATCCGAGAGAGATCCACCATCTCCGACAGAAAGGAGTCCAATGAAGACATCAGCCCCTCCAGCACGTAAGCAGGGCGCATAAGGTGTTCAATATTTGCTTTCCAGAGCGCAAGAACGCCTTGTGTTGCCTCTCGATAAAGCAGTTAAAGCGCCCTTACATCCAGAACGGCGTTAGAAAAATCAAACCTTTTTTTACACTAATCTCGTCGTGGTAAACAACACAGATGGAGGGGGGGTATTTATTCTCCATGTTCTCCGGGGTCAGATAGTGTCTGTGTAGCTCGAGGGGGTCTCCACACGCGTTGTCCTCATATTGGACTGAAGCAGGACAGATGTCTGCGCATAACCACCGCACCGGGCGCACGGAGCAGTTTGGAGAGATTTATAGTTCAGTGCGCTCTGACGTTTGGGGGGCAGTTGGTGTCCGCCCCTCTTTTATAGATCCCTGCAACAGAGCAAACAGTGAGTAACAGAGGTCCGCATATCTCTCCAAACCACCCCTGGAGCCCTGTTTGGAGGAGCGCAGTTTTCAGATGTCTTGGGGATTATGTCACACATCCTGATGTCCTCGGATTAGATTTCAGTATGCGGAATGCGATTTGGAGATGTTCTGTTGCGATGCATGTTTCTAACCTGATCTCCGAGCTCTGTGCGCTCCTCGGTGTCAAGTTCCGTCTCATGGCTACACACATCTCAGATGTAGGGGTCCCAGCTCACTTGCTATTTACTAGAACCTATTTGTAAATAGATGAGCTTTGAGGGAACAGAGGAGACTTTGATGGCTTCTGTTGGAGCCCTACTCCAAACACATAGAAGCGTAATTGCATGTGCTCATTGAACGAGCGCTTTTCTCGTCAAGGTGAGCCTGGAGCAACACCACAAAAGAAGGAGTCTGCATTTGCTAAGATGTGGCACCTGAGAAAGCCGGTCCATCTCCCTTCATGATTTACAAGCTGCACTTTCCTTTCATCTGCTGTCAAACTGACATTCCACAAGCTACCCAGTCCTTTAAGAATTAAGGTCACTTTTGTGCCAAAAAAAAAGAGAGACCGGCTCCAACTACAACTAAACACTTGCTTTTCCAAGAAGCGTTCTGGTTTTAATTTAACAGGCGAAAAGCTGCTAAAGATGGCTGTTCAGTGAAAGGATGGAAATCCCAGCCCTGACACTCTAAATCCACGATGACTTGTCTGTTACTCAGAGGCATTAAGGCTCATATTTGTTTGCTCACTATCTGAAACTTCTTGTTGATACATGTTTTTCTTTCAAGCGTTTCTGCGCGCCCTGCCCATTCCTAAAGCATCGGCATGGTGCCGAGCCAAGTCCTCATTGTATGGATTCCTCCCTGTCATGTTCTCACATGGTTTCATTGTCGTGGATGACAGCTGCTAATGGTTCATTTGTGGTGATACAACCTTCTGGATTCAAATCATTTGTAACTTTATGTTGACTTTGCTCACAGTTACACCTCATTTTACAGAAGCTGAATGTTTTTATACAGCGACAGGTTTAGCTTCACTCATCATACATTGAGCTGCTAAAACGTTGTATCCTCTTCAGCTTAATTTTCCCGTCTACACCATTTTCTTGCACTATGTAGCTCATTTCCTGCAACACAAATGATTTAATTCACATTTCTGGCATTTGTTATTCTCAAAAATAGCTTGATGAGCTTCCTCTTTAAAGGACAATATGATCAACAAGAGTTCCAAACAAACAAAACAATTCTTATTTAAGCTTCACTACTGACTGAAGCTACAGTTTCTTCTAGTGTACATCATACAACGATCACTCAACTCATTTTAAATAAGTTGTTTTTAGTTCAAAGGGAATATTGTGGCACTTGGTGATGTTTCTCCATCAGCGCATAGTTAAATAACCCAAAGCCTTTAAGGATAGTCAGGGATTCCTCGAAGAGAATGAATGAGGGGAAAAAAAAGATCAGTGCTTAGATAAATAAGTCCAAATGCGTGAGTGTGATGAGAACTGGCATTCAGCATTTTATCGTAAAAGCCTGCGTCATGTAGGAGCACAGCCTGAGTGTTCTTCAAGGTTATTTAAAGTTCACCAGGAGCAGTTTGGTAAAGGAGGAGCTCCGAAATCCAGTCATGTTCTGTGGAAAAGCCAAACACGTGTGGTGCCAAATTCACTTACAATAACAGATCACGTAACTTGTTAGAAAGTGGATAAGTAATCAGTCAGCAACTTGTCTTCAAGCCCTTACATAATTAGATATTATTCTGTGTTTATTAGATCCACGTATAAATGTGGCAGTCAGTCTATATTCACATCACCGTAGACGTCATACAGAAAAATTACTTTAATTTATAAAGAAACGCTGCAGATTAAGTATTGTTAGTGGAGATCAGCAGATTAATTAAACCCCTGACAGAATCAATTAATGGATTAATAGATAATCTCCAATTTTATATGCAATTAACTGTTTTTAAAGCCTCTTTATAATATTATTTTTGGCACTTTATGCCTTTAATTGGTGACTGACAGAAGAAAGATGATGAAGAGAGAGAGAGATGGGAAATTACTGAACCAGTCACAAACTGGAGATGCTGTGGTTCATGGTTGGTTCCAGGAGGACGTCCACATTTGGGCCTACCACCTAAAACCCACTGGCTTAGGCTTATATTTATTTGCAAATGTGACTTTTTGCTGGTGTTTGTTATTAGATATACTAAAGGGATGCACATCATCGTCGTTATTGGCTGATAAAATGAAATATCAGGACTGGTCAAACATGAACATGGACAAGTTGATGCTGGTAAAATGTTAGTTTGGTTTGAAAACTACTGTTGGATTAAAAACAAAAAAATGCATGTTTTACATTTAACCTCCTAAGACCTGGCGTCCACATGAGTGGACATCATATTTTGGGTTATATTTTTTAATATATATTTTTATTTTCTTTACATTTTTTATTTTTTGTTCCTCTTTGCTATTTGATCTGATCAAATAGCAAAGAGGAATTTTAAAAAATGCATGTCAAACAAGAGCTCGGGTCTTAGGAGGTTAAGCTACAATAGTTGTCTTATTTTCTTCATTAAATTTGCTAGTGGTTGAATCATGATAAAAACAAGCATCATTCTGTATTAATTCCACCACAGAGGAGACCTGATGTTCTCTACAACTACATAAAACAGACATGTGCAGAACGAGTTGCCATATTGGAAAACACCCAAAATCCAACATCATGCATACCTAGATATAACATTTCGGACTTCTCTTTATACAAACGAGCAATATCAAGATGTCATCTTGGGAGCAGCAGACGCTTCACAGAGCCAATGATTTATCAGGTTAACTGCAGCCCTAATTATCATCCAATAATATTTGAACGACGTGTATGTGAAAGTAGATTTATTTGACATATTTTAGATGAAAGCAGTAACGAGTGGATTGGAAACACTCTCTGGTATTCACAACAGTCAGTGAGGGATCAGCCAAGCTGATTCACCAACCCTGGCCCGATCTTGCATAATTATTAAGACATGTTTGGCACCGTAAAATATGTTTGATTAACGACTGCAGCGCGTTTCACACAGGAGATATTTTTCCTTTTTTTACACGTCACTGACATCTCATGCTAGCGTGGGACGCGGCCCGCTCGGAGATACGACAGACAGACAGACAGAGGCCGTATTGTTTATTGATATGTGCAGCCGTGTCACTGACGGAGTCCTCTGTGACTCCCCTCTGTCTCATACAGACGGAGCTGCGAAGATAATGGTCACCGAAAATAGAACGCTCTTAGAGAGTTCCTTTATGTGCGAGAGAGCCGCCGCCGCACACTCTGTGGGTGTCACAAGTCCCCGGAGCCGAATGCCTGAGTGACTATAATAAATATTAATTTGTTAGGAGGAGAAACATGAGTAAGCTGAACGAATCACCGCCACATGGGGTGTGAGGAAGAGACGCGTCACTCGCACGGAGAAGCCTTCTTTTATTATTTGTGCCGCTGACGGGACGAGCACCTCAATTTTTGATGTCGAGCCTCCACAGAGCACTGACAGGCCCTCACATGGAAGGAAAACTCCCCACAGAGTTTATACGAACATATACTCACACAAACAACCCGGGATGGCTGCATCTGGTTCAGCTTAACAGTAAAAAAATAATAATACGAAACAAATGTCACACATTGAGGATCATTTTTCTCTCCCTGCAATAATTCTTTAGGTGTCCCGTCTCTCGGGGTGTATCGTATCCAACGTGAATAAATAGTTTTGTTAGAATGATGGTGTTTAATGATATGAAATGACTCGACAAACAACTGGCAAACCTGTTAATGGTTATGTCAAAGTGTTTTTGGTTCCATGAGTCACTGTCGCATGGAATAGAAGTGGAGCGTATGTAGGTTCGGTTCCAGCTTGTTTTCTTTGACGAAAACACAAATTACAACACACGACGGACCGAGATGCCGTAATAAATAAACTCCATAAACAAATCAAATTAACTGATATATTAATTTGAAGCATTTCTTGCGGTTTTAATAGTTTTTAAGATGTGTGTGTGGTCCACAAGTGCAACTTAAGCTAACACGGTAAAGATAAATTCATCGTTTTTTTTGCTTTTTGTAATTAAAAACATTTAAAGTTTCATATTAAAGGCTGATTTACGGAAACAGAGTAATGGATGGACCCCAGAGGGAGATTTATGTTGACATGTTGTTGACTAGATCAGAATGTAT